AGAGATGGATGAGATGCGGGATACCTTCTATGAAGAAGACGCATGCCAACTGCAGGACATGCGCAGAGAGCTGGAGAGAGCCAACAAGAACTGTCGGATTCTCCAGTACAGACTAAAGAAGGCTGAGAGAAAGAGGCTCAGGATCACAGAAAGTGGCCAAGTGGATGGCGAGCTGCTTAGAAGTCTGGAGCAAGACCTGAAAGTGAGTCTTTGGATGTCCCATCATCCTCATTATCATCATCTAAATTAACGATCAAAACAATGACTGGACCTCCCTCCTCTTTTTAATTTCCTATATCGTTAGCTTCATAGCATAATTGCCTAAGTCATTTGACTAAGTCAATGACTTAGGCAATTATGCTATGAAGCTAACGATATGCTTTTTTTCTTTATTCTGTCTTGACTCCTCTCCCAGGTGGCAAAGGATGTGTCTGTGCGCTTGCACCATGAGCTGGAAAATGTGGAGGAGAAGAGGACAAAGACAGAGGAGGAGAATGAGAAGCTTAGGCAGCAGCTGATAGAGGTGGAGGTCACCAAACAGGCCCTGCAAAATGAAATGGAGAAGGCCAAAGAGGTGAGAGGCTGAAGCCAGTGTGTCTTCATTTGTTTGACTATCTGTGACAGTTACACAATGCAAATTGTTACCTGAACCAAAAGTTAGACTATAAGATGCCATTTGAATATCACTGGAGAAAATGTGAAGGTGAGGTTGAAGAACAGGGTTCAAGAGCAGATCAGGCAGTAATTCTTAATATACTTTCAGAGTTTTTCCACAGTTTTCCAATGCTCCAGATTAAAATGAGCTAAAATGTAAGTAAAATAATCCCAAAACAAAAACAGAAAAACCTGCTTTGGGTACTCTGGGTTTATAGCAATATAACAGCCAGGTTCGTTGTCAGTGCAGCAGCTCTACTACCCTGCAGTAAAATTACATATTTAGGACAAAATGTCTTTCTTATGATGTGATGTGTAAGAAATATTTATATTCACAAACCAGTTGTTTTTGGGTGTTTTTCTTCAAGGCTCTAAAATAACAACTGCACAGACAGCAGCGTGCTTTGAATTTGAATATCTTACCAGAAACATTCTGGAGGGCGAGTTTAAGCAGTCCTCTTTTTCCATTAGTGAGTGTTCAGTGTTCCATAAATCTGGATGATATCACTGCCCTCAGTAAGAAAACGCCAAGCTGCCGCTGATGGTGATGTAACCACTGTTTCCCCACAGCTCTCACTCAAAAGAAAAGGCAGTAAGGACGGGCAGAAAGCAGACAGAAAGACTCCACAGACCCCAACAGAGGTGAGTCAGCAATTTATAAGATTATAAAGGTATAACCTTTGGCTGATATGTTTAATAAAGAGGTTATTTTTCCTGTGTAAATCTCCAAATGAAAAATAAATGTGATAGACTGGCTGGAGAGTCATATTTCATAGTGAGTAAAAGTAACATGGAGTAACATCAAACCTGGATCTTGGGTGTAAATTTTTAAGCAGGCTACCAAAGTCATGAGAACACCAGAGAAGCTATATTGCTACTGTATTGTCTCTGGTTTGTCTATGAGACTAAAATACAGAGAACTTAAAGAATGGGCAAAATACTTAAGACGTACTTTATTTATCTCAAAAGTTGGTAAGTTACTGAATGAAATAAATGTTCCATCTGTTCACAGGAAGAAAATGAAGATCTGAAATGCCAGCTAGCTTTCATCAAAGAGGAAGCCATCTTGATGAGGAAAAAGATGGCAAAGATCGACAAAGAGAAGGACCGACTTGAGCAGGAGCTCCAGAAGTATCGGTCCTTTTATGGGGATGTGGACAGCCCTCTGCCTAAAGGTGAGGCTGGAGGGCCTCCCACCACTCGTGAATCTGAGCTGAAGCTCCGTTTACGCCTTGTGGAGGAGGAAGCAAACATCTTGGGGCGAAAGATTGTGGAGCTCGAGGTGGAGAACAGAGGGCTGAAGGCTGAGCTGGATGACATGAGGGAGGACAGGTACTTGGCACTCATTCATCAGAATCCTGATGAGTCAACCGGCAGCTTAGTGGAATGACATGATAGCTGTTATGAAAAGAAAAACTGGGGACTGGGGAACATTAAATATGTAAATTCTGACAAAGATAGTTATTGAAATTATTTCAAGTTTGAATATGCAGAAGCTGGAAGAGTAAAAGCACCCGACGTCCTCATTAACACTGCTCGTCTGCTCTTTACCCCCTAGTCTGGCAGCAGCTGGAGTGGATGGCTCTAGCAGTGGAGGTCAACAGAGCAGAGAGCAGGGTGAGGCTCTCTCAGAGCTCAGGCAGCAGCTTCAGCTGGTGGAAGACGAGGCCGAACTTCTCCGCAGGAATCTAGCAGATGTGGAAGAAGAGAACAAAAAGGTAAAAAATATATATATACAGTGGGGCAAAAAAGTATTTAGTCAGCCACCGATTGTGCAAGTTCCACCACTTAAAATGATGACAGAGGTCAGTAATTTGCACCAGAGGTACACTTCAACTGTGAGAGACAGAATGTGAAAAAAAAATCCATGAATCCACATGGTAGGATTTGTAAAGAATTTATTCGTAAATCAGGGTGGAAAATAAGTATTTGGTCAATAACAAAAATACAACTCAATACTTTGTAACATAACCTTTGTTGGCAATAACAGAGGTCAAACGTTTACTATAGGTCTTTACCAGGTTTGCACACACAGTAGCTGGTATTTTGGCCCATTCCTCCATGCAGATCTTCTCGAGAGCAGTGATGTTTTGGGGCTGTCGCCGAGCAACACGGACTTTCAACTCCCGCCACAGATTTTCTATGGGGTTGAGGTCTGGAGACTGGCTAGGCCACTCCAGGACTTTCAAATGCTTCTTACGGAGCCACTCCTTTGTTGCCCGGGCGGTGTGTTTTGGATCATTGTCATGTTGGAAGACCCAGCCTCGTTTCATCTTCAAAGTTCTCACTGATGGAAGGAGGTTTTGGCTCAAAATCTCACGATACATGGCCCCATTCATTCTGTCCTTAACACGGATCAGTCACCCTGTCCCCTTGGCAGAAAAACAGCCCCATAGCGTGATGTTTCCACCCCCATGCTTCACAGTAGGTATGGTGTTCTTGGGATGCAACTCAGTATTCTGCTTCCTCCAAACACGACGAGTTGAGTTTATACCAAAAAGTTCTACTTTGGTTTCATCTGACCACATGACATTCTCCCAATCCTCTGCTGTATCATCCATGTGCTCTCTGGCAAACTTCAGACGGGCCTGGACATGCACTGGCTTCAGCAGCGGAACACGTCTGGCACTGCGGGATTTGATTCCCTGCCGTTGTAGTGTGTTACTGATGGTGACCTTTGTTACTTTGGTCCCAGCTCTCTGCAGGTCATTCACCAGGTCCCCCCGTGTGGTTCTGGGATCTTTGCTCACCGTTCTCATGATCATTTTGACCCCACGGGATGAGATCTTGCGTGGAGCCCCAGATCGAGGGAGATTATCAGTGGTCTTGTATGTCTTCCATTTTCTGATGATTGCTCCCACAGTTGATTTTTTCACACCAAGCTGCTTGCCTATTGTAGATTCACTCTTCCCAGTCTGGTGCAGGTCTACAATACTTTTCCTGGTGTCCTTCGAAAGCTCTTTGGTCTTGGCCATGGTGGAGTTTGGAGTCTGACTGTTTGAGGCTGTGGACAGGTGTCTTTTATACAGATGATGAGTTCAAACAGGTGCCATTCATACAGGTAACGAGTGGGGGACAGAAAAGCTTCTTACAGAAGACGTTACAGGTCTGTGAGAGCCAGAGATTTTCCTTGTTTGAGGTGACCAAATACTTATTTTCCACCCTGATTTACGAATAAATTCTTTACAAATCCTACCATGTGGATTCATGGATTTTTTTTTCACATTCTGTCTCTCACAGTTGCAGTGTACCTCTGGTGCAAATTACTGACCTCTGTCATCATTTTAAGTGGGGGAACTTGCACAATCGGTGGCTGACTAAATACTTTTTTGCCCCACTGTGTATATATATCTTGTAAAAAAAAAATCTACAAAAAAATTGAAACATTTCTGCAACATCAAAAACAAACAAACATTTTTTTGCAGTAACTGCGAAAAATGTAAATATTAAAAAAATAAAAATGCTGACAGCTTTCTAGCACCAATTTTCAGGAAAATTGCAACAAACTAGATCTAGTACTTGACATTTTTAATTTTAGCAACATAAGATGGCAAGTGTTTCCTTGTTTTTCTTTTGGGTAAATGACTCTGATTGATGCTAAACACACATCAGGATAACACTGAGTTTCCTCTTCAGGTGACAAGTGAGCTCAATAAACTTAAATACAAGGCTGGGTCCCACGAACCTGGATCAAGACACGGAGGAGGTTTGTATGTTTTTTAATATTCTAAATGCCTGTCATTGATGTTGTAGCAGGAGTCAAGCAACTGCACTGCAAGTAAAGAGGCATCTCTTCTTTTTAAGCTTATTAAATGTGAACCAGGTGAAAAAAAATGTGAAAAAAAACCCCTCCAGGAGCTGCACATTCAACCCTAATTTGAACTAATGCTCCATTTTCCATTGTTGCATTATTTCAACCCCAGGAGGAGCTGACCCTGCTAAAGTGGAGGCTCTCCAGGAGGAACTGAAAGCAGCGCGTCTGCAGATCAACGAACTGAGTGGCAAAGTTATGCAGCTCCAGTACGAGAACCGCGTGTTGCTCTCCAACATGCAGCGCTACGACCTGGCCTCTCACCTGGGCATCCGTGGCAGCCCTCGCGACAGCGATGCAGAGAGTGACGGAGGGCGGGACGATGACACACCTTCAGCCTCGGCTTCCTCCCCTCGCCTCCTCCCGCCACATCGCAAACGCGAGGGCCCAATTGGAGGAGAGAGTGACTCAGACGAGGTGAGAAACATCCGCTGCCTCACCCCGACGCGCTCTCTTTACTCACCTGTAGATAGTCGTTTTTTATCCAGAAGCCTGAAGGACCGGCAGCAGATGATAGACATCCGCATCGAGGCGGAGAGGCTGGGTCGGACCATTGACAGGCTCATCACTGACACCAGCACTATCATTTCTGAGGCCCGAGTATATGTCACCAATGGGGAGCTGTTTGCTAGGTTGGATGAGGATGAGGAAGGTGGCAGGTAATTGTTACATGAAAAAACTATCACAGTTTTGTGTGATCACTACACTGTCGTAGTCTCCTCCAAATTTACCTGATTTTGAAAGTCCAAACTTGTTCTTCCTCAGGATCAGAGAGCACGAGCTGCTGTATCGTATCAACGCACAGATGAAAGCCTTCAGGAAAGAGCTGCAGAGCTTCATAGACCGCCTGGATGTCCCCAAGCAGGACGACAAACAGGCAGAGGAGCCACTTTCTGTAAGCTGATAAAAACAAGAGTGACTGTCACATTTCCCCCCCACACTTTTCTTCTTCTAATGCTCATCATTCTTCTCTTCACTCCCATTTTTCCTTCAACTGCCATCGCTCCAGATGTTTCAGCCCATCATTTTGCTGATCCTCATTCTTGTTCTGTTTTCCTCACTGTCTTATGCCACCATTTTTAAACTGGTATTTCTTTTCACCCTGTTCTTTGTACTGTAGAGCACACTTTCTGTATCACATTATGTTTATTTTTTATTGCTTCTTTTTTTAAAACATATTCATTTATTTCACTTTTTGTTATGTTGAACACATTACATAAGGTCACACAAGGTACAGTTTTTTTCATTTTCCAAGTATGACCCACTCATCTGTTCAGCTGCTTTCAACATTCCCTGGAGACCACACACCTAGAAGCGACAGTGGAGTTTTAGGTGAGTATGTCATTCAATTTTTCCTACTGTGAAAACCTGTGATAGAATTCCCTTCACAGGTCAATCTAGGTTTAAGATGATTCTTTGAATCAGAAAGAAAAGCTGTCTGAAAATACCTGTGAGGGGAAAAGTTTGTGCCTTATTTATGTGACTACAGGAATAAACACACATCTTTTATGAATACTCTGTCAAGTCTGTGAAAATGCACATAGGCCTACACACACTCAAGCACCCTCCCACAATAACACTGACACTCATACTGTAGGACTACATCTCCTGCAAGTTCTTCTTCTTAGGCAGCTGTGCTGAGTCACCACCAAATGTCAGCCTAATGTACAACAGATCATCCACACAGTCACGGGAAGCATAACAGGAGCACTGTCATTTTACCTGCATTAGTGTTGCACTGAGAATCTTACAAAATGCCTCTGGGTGAGTCTGCAAAAGCATACCGTTGGTGAATCTGTTTATCCAGCGGACCTGACCACCAGGACGGGGGCGGAACCGGTCTACTGCTTTCATCCCACCGGTGGGATGTTTTACGTCACATATTAGGGCCAGCTGTGGAGGGAGAGAGGAGGAGAGACGTTGAGGGAAAGGGAGAGAGAGAAAAGGGGGATTTTATTCCAGTTAATGAAAGCATAAATTCAGCGGTAGCCTCTCGCTCTCCGATCTTTTTTAACTGAACCGCCGCATTCCAGTTACTTCAGCCAATTTTGCTGGCTGAAATGAAATGTGTATGTTTGGGGGATGAGGACATTCACTGCAACACTCGGGATTATCAGAGGAAAAACAGGTAAGAGCGCAGTGTTTGGTTAAGCTGCACGTGCTTCGTATTTTTGCGCGTGAACATAGCATACTAACACAAACGCTATGTAGTGCATGTAAATGTAAGCCGCTACTGTTATTTCGCCTGCTAATTACAACGTTAATAATAAAAGCAGCACGAGTTAGCCCACGTTTTACAGGCCTGAAGTTACAGACAAGGCTAGAGTCACAGTGGTGGCTCTGAGGATGAATACAAACACACCCTTCGTCGCTTTCCTCGTGATAGTCACCCCCTCTCATGCTAAGACAGCGGATGAGAAATGGCTAAGAGAGAAGAGATGGCAGGCTTTGTTTACTGGGGAGGTAAGTTTCTTTTGCAGGAGTTTGAGATACCGTGTGTTAGTATTACGCTAACAAAAAAAAGTTTCAAAAAAAAGAAAGAAAGAAAAAATGTGCGCCGTTTCTAAAGAGTAAAGATTAGCTGTTTTTAGCTAACAGTGAGGTGATTTGTTGCCATGGGTACAACACAAGGTGGCACCTCTTGCGACGTAATTAGAGGAGCCCGGTGTAGATTAGAGCATCTCTTTTACTCCTTAATACCCCTGCAGGCGCCGTTCAGCTATTTGGCTTTAAGGGTATAAACTCATGGTTACAGGGGGTAAAAATACTCCGCAGCTCTTACATCAGTGCACTCCACGATATATTTTTGGGAGCTTCTCCCATTCGCCTCAGAGTGGTTACTGGGTGTCTTGTCATTGCTTGCTCTGGATTGTCGCCTACAACGTCTCTGTGTGTGGGGCAGAGACGCGGCACGGAGCTGAGCGTCCCGGGATGTATTTTTTTATTTTTATTTTTTTAAACATGTGAAATTAAAAACAGCGCAGGTTTAGGACACAGCAGAAAACCTGCAATTTATTTAAAAGAGAGAGCGAGAGAAAATACCGTAGGGATTTGCTGCAGAATGAGGGCTTAACTTCACCCCAGTGAAGATATGGAAGGGACTCGAGCGTCCTGCGTGAGCGCTGCTGTGACTGCTCACCCGAGCGCTGCTGTTTGGCCGACGTGGGATTTGATCGGCTTTGGATAACTTTTTCTGCCACTGGTCACCACTTGAAAAGCAGCTGGAGTTTACGAGAAAGCATGCCGAACTATTTGAAAAATGTTTCCTACGTATCCCATACGGAGAATCGATGGATCTACTTAAAGATTTGCTTTGTGATAGTACTCTAACAATCGATCCAGTCAGGTTATTGTTTTAATGTGTTCTTTTAATGCACTTAAGAAATGTGGAGCGCTTTTGTGAACGGCGCGGGGCTGCACAGTGGGGGCGGTGCTGGCGGGGGATACGTCCCTTCTCAGGGATGGGAGTTTGTCCCGTGCTCCAGGATGGAGAAGACAGACAGAGGCAAGGGAAAAAATCGCAACCCGTTGAGGAGGATCTCTTCCCCACCCACGGTCTTCAGTCAGATCTACGACACGCAGCTCGGTGCTTCCCCCGCAGGTGCAGAGGGTGAAGCGAAGTCCCAGCTTGAGATTCACAGGGGGCAAATGTGGCCAGGTCCAGAACCCCAGCAGCAGCAGCGGGAAGCCCAGCATACACGGCTAAAAAAGAAATTTGAGGATCTAAAAAAGCGACACATACATGACAAAGAAGAATGGATGCGCCAGAAGGAGTCATTGTTGAGAGAAGTGGCTGACATACAAGTAATTGAGAACATTACCACTCGTCTGTCAGCTATACTAAAATATAAATATTTTGTCAGTAGCACACAACTATAAATTGGTGTATTTAATGTTTTTATGTTCTTAGATTATTCTTTGGAGTGAAATTGAACGTTTAATCTTTTGTTTGTGTAACCAGCTGTCTATTATCAAACATCCGTCCTCTTCTGAGTTCTTCTGTGATTGTAAAGGAAAAAAATTGGTTTCCTGCAGGGAGGGGAGAACAGGAGGATTCTGTTGGACCTGAAGACGGTTTTAGAAGAAGTGCAGGTGGAGGTGAAGAGAGAAGAAGAGAAGAGAACAGAGCTTCAGTTGCAGTATACCAGAGACAGATGTGCATGGGAGCTGGAGAAAGCTGAACTTAAATGCAGGATTGCACAGGTAAGTGAGGGATGATGGTGACTTTATTTTTAATATATATGTACACACACAGACACATCTTATTTTAATAATTGCATATTTTCTTGTGTTTGCGCATGGCTGGCATTCATTGTGGTGTAAATTGGACTTGCTGCCAATATGGCAGGTTGATAAGTCACAGTGGCTTCTGTCCAACTCAAGCCTCAGCTCCGACAAAAGATTTGCATGGAGGAGACAAACTTAGTTTTCCCACCGAGCCAGAAACCAACACCAAACTTGGCTTTCAACTGCTGGCTCTGGGAAAATGAAACATTAGCCTGTTTTGGCAATGGATAGCTATTGTTAAACGTGGTGAAAAAGGACAGAAACTACTTGAAGTTAAGTTTGCATACCAGTGCCATGCTGTGTTGGGCACTGTATGGATCACTTGAATGACCATTCACAGCTATTCTTCAAAGCAGTGTGGCTTTAGGGATTTAGCATTTTTTTCTGGTTATATCAGAAAATGGATTTATTTGGCTGCTTTAATGCCTAAATCTTATGAGACTTGTTCTTCCTTTGTAGATCAAAAGAAAGGATACTCTGTTAATATTAAGACTTAACTGCACGCTGACTGCTTTGCATGTCTCTTTGCTCGTTGGAGCTGTAGTTTCTCTGTGATGTTGTGATGGCAGCAGCTTTATCTGCTAGATGAGCCCCATATCATTCCTATCACAGACTTTAAACTGATTGATCTCCTTCTGAGTGAAGTCATGAATCTCCTAAATTCTATAACATGGTGATAGAAATTAAGGGGTTGCTGCAATGATACTGCTGAGAAGTAATAACACTAGAATTAAACTAAGTTCCAGGGATTTGTCAGATCACACACATTGGTTTAACTATCATAATGTAGCTTTTCTGTATGTGAGTAGAGAGCAGACTGTGACTTCTCAGCTCTTCTCTTTGTCCCCCAGGGCCTTTTCACAGTGTGGTTGAAAAATAGCCAAATAAAAACGGACATTTACTGTTCTGCTTTGTGTCCGTAAAGCTCAGTGAACCAGTGTGAGAAAGACAATTCAGTTTCTGCAGAGCATACCATGATACCAGAGAAACACACACTGATGTTTTCACCAAGATGCTGTAAATGTACTGTATTAGAGACTGTTACCTGCCACCTGAGAGCTTTTTTTTTTGGCACAGGTGTCTGTCAGTGTCTGTCCTTGGTATATGTTTGCAAAGGCCTCATAGTAGTTTGTGCCATAGTGTTTTGTGTTTGTGTCAAATGAGAGTATTTAGAATGTTGCCTCTCATGCACACTCACAGTTTTCTGTATGGATTGCACAAACAGACAAAAGTGAAATGTGACATGCTGAGTAAGATTTACTCCATTGTAGTTGTTTGTCTTGATGCCACATCCTGCCACAGTTTATGTTTTTGGGCACAAAAGCATAAACTGTTTACCAAGAGTAAAAATAAGGCCGCTCTTAAAGATCCAAATCCAAACTATTTACAGCAGAGAACTCTACTAACTGACTTGCAGACTTGTAATTACCTTGCATATCAAATTGGGGTGGGGGTCTATTGTTTGTTTCACTCTTTTCAATTCTGTGTGAACTACTGAACTAAACAAATGTTCGTTGTCTGTGAAACACCTCATAAAGGTTGACAAGAATGAATGCAAATCAATGAGTGGAAGTCAGCCGCACGAACTGGGTGCAGCTTCATTTCACTTTGAAGTGATATGTGAACAATTTCAGCATGGGTGACAAACTCCTCTGTCATTTTCAACATGTTGGTTTCACTGTGCCAGAAGCAGAAGTATCAGTTTTTTTAGTGAGACAAAGCAAACACATGGTGTACTATGATGGCCAGAAATCGCTAGGGCGCTTTGCTTTGAATGTGACCTTTGATCACGTTGATGACAATCTATAATAGTAATGAAATGAAGAATATTTATACATGTCACTCTGTGCATGTATGTTTTAAAAACTGCCGTTAAATGCATTCGACTGAGTCATAAAGTTAAAGTGGTATCAACTGAGCTCTTTAGTACAGTATCCTGCTAGCTGAACAGCTAGATGCTGTTTATTTATTAGTGCAGTTTAAGGAGACCTTTTGAAAGCAGTATCAGACTTTAATTTATTCTCTTTTGGTCGTTTTGTAGGTGGTGAATCATAAAGAAGCTGCGAGATTTAGCCATATGAGTCGTTTTTTTAAAGTTTGGCTTCACTGATATGTTTTGTAGATTAATTGCTGTACCAGAGATTATGGGCTTCAAGCCAAAGTGAGTCAAATAAAAGGCTGCAGTATTTTATCAGCAGTTGTATGTTTGTGCTCATATATTCATATATTAAAGGCACATCATTTTCTTTGGTGGGCTTTTGTATTTTGTAACTGCTATATGTTGTTTCCAGATACCAAAGAAGCATCCAGGGTCCCAGGCAGAGGTCTTAGCCCCGATATTTCCAGGCATATTTCCCTGCATGCCACTGATTTATGAATGCTGCTGGCAGCTAGGAGACATCTCATTCTGCTTTAGCAGCCAACGCTCCCTTCTCCCTTTACCCCAGCTCCCCGCCTCCCCTTGGAATGTAACATTGTACAAGCTGTGTGTTCGCTATTTATAGTGGGTCACCCTGGTGACACAGTTACCTTTATATACCCTGTGTGCCATACAGTGACTATCAGGGTGGCCAAGAGTAGTTGGAGGTTGTGTATCAAAACTGAATTTAAGGATGTGAATGAGTATGTTTCCTTGTGCTGGAAGAAATGCTGGTAATCTGCGTCTCTGTTTACATGTTCCTGCAGTATTTCCTTTATAAGACAGTTTGACTTCCTTTGTCAATCATTGAAAACTTTGCTTGGCTCTTTATTGTGACTCCAAGCATGTTATTTCTTTATTTTCACAACTTGTTTACATGTAGATGTTTAAATAGAGTGTGGACAGCACCCATCATCATCCATCTCTAATTGTGGAGAATTTTGAAAAGAGCTACAGGCAGATTGTGTTGACTTGTTTTCCTACTCCATAATTTGTTGATCCCAGGCCACAGGCAAAAATAACACCATGACCGAGGTTTTTGGTTTGTGTCTGCGGATGGACACTGAAATAACGCATTTGTGCAAGCTTATGCATTATCTCCCTCTTTCGAACAAACACTACATACAAACTCACACACGCACATGCACACACACCCAGGCACACTAATATACTGTATGCACAGGCGTTGTCCTGGGCTCTTTCCAGCACCAAAGCCTTTTTTTTAAATTTTTTTTTTTTACTAGCA